CCACTTCCGCTTCCGTGGCATAGCTCCTCCGGCGCCGAGTAGCGTTCTTAATGCCACCTGGTGGCTACACGCAGAACTGCAGGGTCCTCGGTGGTTAGTTGGAGAACCAAAGTCTTGCTGCCTCCGGCTTGGGGCTTTGGTTTTGGTGGCTAAAGCGCTTTTTTCGAAACGTGTGACCGGCTGAGTTTTAATTGTATTTCATTTTAATAAATTATATTTAATAACTGAAGCAGGTTGGGATGCCTTCTTTTTAGACACGACTTTTTAAAATCAGAATTCACATTTCTCCATTGATTTATCTATTTACTTTTTGGTTTTGTTTTGCGAGACAGGGTTTCTCTTGTGTAGCCCTGGCTGTTCTGGAGCTGGCTCTGTAGACCAAGCTGGCCTTGAATTCACAGATCCGCCTGCCTCTGCCTCCCGAGTGTTGGGATTAAAGGTGTGCGCCACCACCTGGCCTCTTTTTCATTTCTTAAGAATTTCATAAATGCATATAATGTGTCTGGTCAAATCCAACCCCCATTCCCTCCCCTCTGGCTGCTTCCTTATCACCCTCCACATTCCTCCTTGAACGCTGGTATCTGAAATGGAAAATGACATGTACGTCACTGTACACATGTATTCACTGTACGTCAGTCACATACTTGATATCTAAGATCTATAAGATAAAATATATCATTGCTTTCTTATTCAGTTTTGGTGTCAGAGATAGAACTCAAGGCCTCAGGACTGCAGCAAGCACTGCACCATTCCACCTGGTTCCATTCACGCATTCATTCATCTGAGACAGGATGTTGCTATGTACCCCTAGCTGTCCTGGAACTCACTATGTATATGAGTCTGGCCTCAAACTCACTAAAATCCACTTGCCTCTGCCTCCACCACGCAATTTCTTTGTAGTACATGTTGAAATGTTACTTTAGCTATATTGGGACCAATAAATTTTATTGTTGAAGTGAATTTCACCTGTTTCTGCTTTTTAAATTTTTTAATTATTTTATGTATGTAAGGATTTTCGCTGCATGCACGTTTGTGCACTGCAAGTGTTACAGCTCTGGAGAGAAAGGTATCCTGACTTGTCAGGAAGTCAAGCTATACCTGAAGCAGGGGTCCAGTGGGGGATGGTCTCCCCACAGGATGTGACAATCCTGCTCCTCTCAGATGTTACAGCCGAGCTCTTTTCTGCTCCCAAGGGAGTTTCCCAGCAGAGGTTCGGGTTTCTTCCCAGCTCCTGCCCAAGCTGTTACTTCTCTGCCTCACTCTGCCAAGGAGAAACCCTGGCAGAAATGTAGCCGTCAGTTCTGCCCCCTGGAAAGTGTTACTTCTGCTCCACTCCCCTAAGGGAGCTTCCCAGCAGAGATTCTGCTCCGCACCAGAGAGAGATCTTCACCCTAAACTCTTCCAAGAAAGACATTAATTTGGGAAGGCAGGGAGCGGCTGCATCTGCCAGGGTGGGAAAGGACAGCCAACAGCTGAACAGGCAGAGGGGCTTCTTAGGGGCAGAGTTTTTCCAGGGAGAAGCTTTTTCGGGGACAGAATTGGTCAGATCCTGATCCCCTTAAGCTTGGACAAACTCAGAATGGCTAGATTTCATGCTCCGGGACTGGCTGGTTTTCCTGCTCAGTGATTGGTTGGTTTCACGTTCAGTTGGGTAGGGGCAGAGTTGGCTCTGGTTTCAGGGCCAGGGTGGGTTTCTTTCAATGAGCCTTTGACCCTGAAAGACCTCCAGAGACTCAGGCCCCCAGGATCTCAGGCCAGGACCGAGGCCACCCTACTCACCAGGCAGATTCGAAAGTTTGATGCAAACTTGCATGAGGCTTTATTGTAGTTGTTTAACGAGCTAACCCCATGTTAGCTCGGGTCTTTCACCCACCCGATGGCTAGGAAAGACCCTGCGAAGCGTCTGCATAGAGATCTTGTAGGGCAGTGTAAGGGGAATGTCTAGGGGTACTCACAGGCTCAGGATTGGTGTGCCTCCAGGCTTGGAGGTTTGCCCTGTGTTGATTGGTCAACTGGTTGTTATGGCCCATAGGCCCTCCCAGGGTGGTTGCTATGCTCTGTCATTGCTGTGTGCTTGTCTGTAAAGTACACCCAAAGCCATAAAGCATAGCGCCACCAGCTAACTTCTGATTGGTTCCTTGCCACGAGGCAGGCACCTGACCTTAGTGACTAAGACAAGGTCAGACAAGCTGTGATGGCTGCCGAAATGGGGAACTGGTCCCTTCATTCCCCCATTTTCTTTTTTGGAAATTCCAATCATGGAATTGCTGTCTCTCCAGCATCCCCATCAGGGAGTAGAGATATTGGCATCCCTATGCAAGGGAGTTCCTTCTGACTAAGCATTTCAACCAGGGAAAATGGGCGGCGTATTCTTTGGGATGAAGTTAGGGACCCAAGAAGGCTGAAATGCTAGTCAAAAGCACAAAAGGGAATTTAGGCAATGGGGAATCCATCAGGGGCTTTTGGCAGACTCTGTTGCAGAGACAGGGGTGTTATTGTTTTGTTTAAAAAGAAGAAAAGAGAAATTGCTGAGACAGACATATTGACTATAAGTTTATTATAAGGCCCGGTAGAATGGGGAGACTAAGAAGAGGAACAGGGTAAATGGCTGACCGCTTATCTCTCTGTTATAAAAAGCTTTTTAACAAAACATTTTAAATGCCATATTCTCTAGATCTCTGAGCATT